ATAATATGTATTATAATAGTTTACATTGCTGTTGAACATTATGTGCATTGTTGATGTTGGATCATTGAGTTAATTGGTTATTTTTGAGCAGGAGCTCAGTTGGTAGAGCTGATGTCTCTCAACAAGGTTACTACATCAGCCTGAGGACCTTTATGGGTACAGTTTGCATTTTCCCTCCAGCTTGTCTGTATGTGGGGCCCTGTGATGGACTTGTGATCTGTCCAGGGTTTACCCGGCCCCTCGCACAGCGACTGCTGGTGACCCACGTGACCCTGAAAGGAAGAAGCGGGTATAGATAATGGATGGATGGATTTTTTTTTAGTATACGTGTAATGCAATGTTTTTGAGTAATAATGGTAATAAAGTTACCCATGTACCTTGCTGGAAATCTGTATAAGGTGGACATCACTGCTATGAAATTGGATTTGCTCCTATTCCTCAATGCGTGCCGCCTCATTCGGAGCCGTCTCAGCTGCCTCGTGTGGAAAACAACATTCTTCATGTTCTGCCTGATTCAACTCATGCTGAGCCCATTCTTGAAGAGTGTTTGTTTGGCACATTTGCTAAATGAAAAAATAAAAAGAAGAAATACTACAACTGCTAAAATCTGATACCACTCTATGTCTGTGTTTCACTTCACGGGTTGCAGCCGAAGTCAGCCGCTGACATCACTGCCTCACGGTAGGCTCTCCCAGTTAGTAGACTCCTACTCACGCGGCTGCCAAAACCCCAAAGCATCTGCTGCGTCTAAGTATCCTACACGGCAGAAGGTATCCCAGAATTCATTGCGCCATCAGCAAATTAAACAGAAAAACAAAGACGGCGAAAGTTATTTTTTTGCAAACTTTTTAGTTTTTTGTTTAATGACAGAGTTTGGCATTTTATCACAAATCAAAGAATGTAAGTTAAACAACTTAAATGAAGAAACTTTTGTTACAATGAGATGTTCAATAAATGCAATTACAAGTATTGATTCTGAAGCTTAACCCAAATTATTAATGCTTTTATTTATTTTAATTTTTTTCTATTAAAACTGAATTTTGTGAAGTTATACCTTTAAAAAACAACTGAAACRATGTGATGTAAAACAAATCACTATGTAAAGAGGCAGGGTGTGGTCACACAAATGTACAGTGCGTCTTCTGTAGACCAGACCGTCTCATTTCACAGCCGTTTATGCAGCAGACACGAGCGGCCTACGGCCCACTTAGACTGTGACCAACTTTGACCGTGGTCTACGTCGACCACAACCCATGAATTGAGACACAAGCCATGTTTCCATCAAAGTTTTATTATTCGCATCTTGAAGTATCGTATTAGAAAAGGTGAATGGAAATGGCACGATTCGAAAAAAACTTCCTCTAGTTTGCAAAAAAGTTGAAACACTGTTTGAAGTGGTTTTTGTTTTTTTTCTAAAGAGAGTTAATGCGCAAAAGAAGAGATGGAAACACATTTGCTGAATCATTTCTGACGTAGTGAACATTTACATGGTTGATCAGCTGTTTCCACTGTCTGAACGGTACTGGTACCAGAGCGACTGCAGCTGGATCCTCCTCCCACTATCAGCGTCTTCTCAGTTGTTCCCGTAACGTGAAGAGACTTACATTTATTTCTCTACGTCTTCAGACAGCATGTAACATCACCAAAACTAGTTTATATAACAGAGTAATGACAACTGTCCTGATAGTAGCAACACGTTCCTGATAACTTCTCTCCATTGTCCTGAGATGTGTATACCTGCGAGTTTACTTCCTGTTTACTACACACATGCATCTGATCTAATTACACTTTGTGTAGCCTGGTTCATTCGCTTCAAGCCAGTTGATGGAAACATGTCTTATTTGCATTTCTTCTTTTTTTTCTTTTTTGCGAAATCAAAAAAAGTTGAATGAAAATTGGATGGAAACATGGCTAATGTCCATATTTTACATTTCATAAAGACGGAAGTTGCGCTGCATGTCTTCTTCAGAGGTTTTCGTGTCGTTTCCTTCAGCACCACCTGTGAACAGGCTGCTCACAGGGTTTGGTTGGTTTGACAAAGTGCAGTGTGAAAGCCAACGGCACCAGCTGGAAATGTAAACAAATGTTGAAATTTTGGTCCCCAATCAAACAGTCTACTGGACTAACAGGTGTGGATACAACTTAAGTAGAAGAACGGTCAGTAAGTAGTCTACGTGTTTTTGTTTTGTTTTTCTCATTATATAGTGCTCGCTATGGTAACTGGCACAAAAACAGAGGACCCACAGAGATGAAGACAGGGCCCAGGATTCTGGTCTTCATTATTGGAGGTGTGACGTACAGTGAGATGCGTTGTGTGTATGAAGTCACACAGGCCAATGGCAAGTGGGAAGCCCTGATAGGTGAGTTTACAGGAATGACCTTCTTCGATGGCTTACTCACCAACTAAGGGGCTGATTTATCAAGATCCCACCTAACAAGTGTTAAATTGCTTGGCAGAATAAAAAAATTAACCTGTGCTATTAGGTRTGGTGCAGGTGATCTAATGACAACAGGTGTGAAAGTGAAGAACTGCCCTATTGAAATTAGGATTTTGCATGTGCTACTGGCTGTTAACATGGAGACAGCCAGCCTACATTGTGGAGGTTTCATGGTCTCATTTCTCCTCTCTTAAAGAGTCCAAAGAAAAAACACAGTCACATTAATTGTGAATATGGACAGTGTGAATTATTGTAATGCAGACGAAAGATTCAGAAAGAAAAGTCCCCTGTCAGACCATTCCCATTAAAGACTGCTATTTTGTTCATTTGACACAGACTCAGTCCTCAGTGCACACAGTGGATCAGGTTTGTGTGCTATCAAGTTTGTACCTTTTTACACACGCAGTCCTTTGGTAAATCAGCCCCTAWTTGTTCTTAAAGGGAAAACTAAGAATTTGAAAAGCCTGGAATATGAATAAAACACCACATATTCATTCAAAAGGTTTAACATTGTTCTGATGAGATGATTTGTGAAAATAAAGTCATGAAATCTTCTGTCAATCAAATTAAAGGAAATAGATTTTTTTCAAAGAAAACTCTACATTTAAACTAAATTAAATCATTGATTTGGTTCCTCAAAACAGTTTTGTATTTGATCTTTCAGTAAGCAAATCTGTTTATTGAAATTACATTTTTTAATTTTTCTCCCCATAGGCTCCACCCACATCCTCACACCCACCAAATACCTGAAGGACCTGCAGCACTCAGACTTCCTGGACCCCAACGCTCCACCTGAAGGAACAACTGAACCAGCTGCAGAATGAAAAGATATTTAAATGTAAATATGAAGAGAAAATATTTAGGTGTTCCTTTATTTATACCAGTGATTCCCAAAGGTGCAGGGGGGTGGAGGACCGTATGTCTGAATAAAAGAATGAACTGGACATTGCTAGCATAATGTCTGACGTTTCAGCATATGGTTACAGTTTACAGCTAATATCCTGGATTTCTAAACCTGACTTTTGTGAAATAAGCTCCTGGTCATGATGACACACAGGTCTGAGTTAGGCTTAAAGAAATGTGCTACATTAGTGCAGTACAGAGCTGTGAGTCAGTCCTTCATCCCTGCACTGGTTTTCTGTGTGACACAAAGGAGGCAAACCACTGAACTGCCATGATGTACACTTCATCTTAATTTGATTTGTTTCTCTAAATTTCTTGGTGATTGCTACCATTAGATTATCTTCTGCCTTCTTTTTGTGAAACTTTATTTTAACAAATAAGAATCTCACATTTTAACTGAGTGAGGTGGTGTTGCTTAAAAAGAATGAAAATATATTTTTTAACTTCAAAAGTTTTTGTTTATTTAATTGTAGACAAAAGTGGAAATTCTATTATTCAGGGGGTGGAGGAGCAGTAAATGGGGAGTATTTTTGTTTGCTGTGATTATTGAAAACCATCAACCATAAATTATTGCTGTTTAGGACTCCAGTCATGCTTTGTCTTGGCTATAATGATTATACTAAATAATAAATAAATTTAATAATAATTGAATGATAATTCAATTCAAATTTTGAACATTTAAATTTGTTGCATTGGAAAACATTGTTTACTAAAAAAATGACAACTTTTTTTTCAGGATCACATGAAATTATTCCTCCTTCTGGCCTAAAAGACCGAAGAACCAGTTAATTTACTGAACTTTTTCTGCAATGATGTCCTGTCAGCCTTCAGAACACTGAGCTGGGATCACCATGACCTCTGACCCCACTGACCTTCACTGAACCCCACTGACCTCCTATGACC